GGGACAAAAGGGGACAGGGACAGCCCGAGGAGGGAAAAGGAGAAATGAAATGGAGGGAGGGGATGGAGATTGGGTGGGGGGGTGAGCTGGGCACAGGTGGGTCCCCCAAAAAACAGAAACTGTCCCCAGAACTCAGGGGTGTCCCCAGAAACCCAGGGACTGTCCCCACACCCAGGGGTTGTGTCCATCGTCCAGGTGTGCCCCCAGTCCCCAGGTGTGTCCCCAGGTGTATCCCCAACACCTCAGGGGTGTCCCCAGTCCCCAGGTGTGTCCCTAAGTGTGTCCCCAGGTGTGTCCTCAGCCCCCCCCAGCCCTCAGGTGTGTCCCCAGGGGTGTCCCCAGCTCCCCCAGTCCTCAGGTGTGTCCCCAGGTGTATCCCCAACCCCTCAGGAGTGTCCCCAGTCCCCAGGTGTGTCCCCAGGTGTGTCCCCAGCCCCCCCAGCCCCCCCAGCCCTGTCTCCCCCAGGATGTTCCGCCGGACGTACACGGCCGTGGGGCCGAGCTACTCCTCGTCCGTCCTCAACTGCCTGAAGGTACCGGGGGGGGGGCCCAAAATCCCGGGGGGGCTGCTGGGGGGTCACTGGGAATGGCTGGGAGTCATTGGGAATGGCTGGGAGTCATTGGGAATGGCTGGGGGTCACTGGGATTCACTGGGAATTACTGGGATTCAATGGGAATGGCTGGGAGTCATTGGGAATTGCTGGGAATGGTTACTGGGAATGGCTCGGGGGTCACTGGGAATTGCTGGGAATGGTTACTGGGAATGGTCACTGGGAATTACTGGGAATCACTGGGAATGACAGGGGGGTCATTGGGAATCACTGGGAATGACTGGGAATGGTTACTGGGAATGGCTGGGACTCACTGGGAATTGCGACTTCCCTGGGCTTTTACTGGACTTCCCTGGGATTCCCCGGGCACCCCCAGAATTCCCCGGACACCCCCAGAATCCCCCAGACCCCCCCGGTGTCCCCAGGGTCTGGACCAGTGGTGCTTTGACGTTTTCTCCCTGCACCGAGCGGCCGAGGAGCACTCGCTGCGCACGGTGGTGTTCGAGCTGCTGAGCCGCCACGGCCTCAACAGCCGCTTCAAGGTACCCCAAAAACACCCTAAAATATCCCAAAATATCCCCAAAGTATCC